TCTCTCTCTCTCTCTCTCTCTCTCTCTCTCTCTCTAATGTGGTACCCAGTGTGTGATCATTTTGAAGTGGCAGATGATACCATGTATGCTACCTGCCAGCACTGCTGAAGGCAGATCAGCTGGGGCAAGGAGGTGAAACACTTCACCACGACGGCTATGCTGCTGCATTTTATGAGGCAGCACCCCCTTGCCCTTTTTCCTCCTCAGCCTGGCACCAGTGGGAGCATGCCCAAAAAAGAAGTCCCCATCTTGCTCCAAAGCCCCTGACCTCAAGAAGCAGAGGCAGGCCACCCTGGACCAGTGGGGGAAAGGTGAAGACAAAGCAGGGCATGTTCCCAAGGTGAGCTAGGTCGCCCAGAACATTGGGGAGATGCTTGCTCTGGATGGCGAGCCCTTTTCCTTTGTTGAGCGTCCAGGGATCAGGTGGCTCATGGCTCCATTGTACCAAGTGCCCACATGCATCACCTTTAGCAGGACAGTGGTGCCCTCCTTGTATGAGGCATGCAGGGAGTACTTCAGGGAGGAGCTGCGCAAGGCAGGTCCTCAGGTAGCCTTGCACTTCACCTCAGACATCTAGAGTAGCCAGGGTAGAGATCATGCCTACCTCTCCCTCATGGGGCACTGGTGCAATCAGTCAGGGTGACAGTGGGCTCTACTTCAAGCCGAGGTGATGGATGAGTCCCACATAGCAAGGGAGACCATGGTGGCCATGAGCCGCATGGTGCAGGGGTGGCTCATTGGGCATGGTGAGCTCATCCATGGGTTCACTGACAATGGGGCCAATATGGTCAAGATGGTACATGATGCCAACGCTGTGTGGCACACAACTTCCACTTCGTAGTCAGGGACGCCTTGGAGAGGGGCAGGGCTCCTGGTGATGGCACTGTCACTACCAGCCAGCTCATTTTGAAATGCAGGAAGGTGGCAGGCTACTGCCACCGGAGCATCAAGGTGGGCAAGATGCTGCAGGACAAACAGGCAGAGCTGAGCATCCCGCAGCACAAAATCATGCAGGATGTGGAGACTCGGTGGAACTCCGTATACTTGATACTGGAAAGGCTGGTGGAGCAACAGAAGGCCATCCATGAGATGGCCTTGATCGAGGAGATTGGGATCAGTGGCCCCCTTAACAAAATGGAGTGGGATACCATCTCCCAGATCTTGGTGGTTCTCAAGCCACTTCTTGAGGCCACCAAGACCCTCAGCGCTGGCAATGCCCTCCTTAGCCAGGTGATCCCCATAGTGAAGAAGCTTGAGAATGAAATGAAGAAGTTCCAGGGGATTGATGTTCTTGGCTGGGGCAGGCCACTGTCACCAGAGGTGCAGGCACTCGTGAACCAGCTGAAGGAGGGCATCAAAAAATGGCTGAATCCGTTGTGATTCAGTATGGTCCATGGGTGCAACCCAAGGGTGAAGGGGAGTGTCTGCAGCAGCAAAACCCTCTCCCGTGCCAGCACTCCAACCATAAGCCAATCTCCTCCACCACAGCTGCTGCCAGTGTGGGTCAAGGGCATGGCTTCAGTGTTGTGGTTCACAGGCCTCAGACCCCACCATCAGGCAGATAGCGTGGAGGCCTCAGTAGGTACCTATCTCACCAAGATTGTGGAGCCACTGCACTGTGACCCCTTGGCCTATTGGACAACCCATAGTCAGGTGTGGCAGGATCTGGCCACAATTGCCCAGGATCATCTGTTCTGTCCACTGACCAGTTTTCCAAGCAAGAGGGTGTTCAGCATTGCTGGGAATGTTGTGACACCCCACCAGACCTCCTTGGATCCTGGTTTGGTGGAGTAGCTGGTGTTCCTGAAGGTGAACCTCCTGCTGCTGCGGTTCCCTAAGCTCCAGGTGCAGACAGACTGAGTGCCACCCTCCACACACCACACCTATTTGCTTTTTTAATTTGCTTTCAGAACCTTGAGGTGCACTTTCACAGAAACCCCTGCACCACTCTGCCTGAAACCTGGCAGACCTTAGACCTTATGCCCACACAAGAGCTACCATCCCTGCTGTTTTCATCCTGCTCTGCCTTAACACATACAAGTGATACGAGTTCTGCTTTCAACAGCTTGAGGTGCACTTTCACAGAAACCCCCACACCTATCTCCTTGTAACTTGGCAGGCTTCATGCCCTCAGAAGGGGCTACCATTCCTACTGTTTTAATCCGAATCTGCAAAAAAAAAGACAAAATTATAGGTATTTTAGTGATTCTCCACTATAGTCAATGGCCGAATCTCTGAATCAGCGCTGAATCTCTGAATCTGAATTGGCCGAATCAAATCAGGACAGTGATTCAAATCACCGAACCAAATCACTGTCCCTCCAGTTCAGCCAAATCTGAATCCAAAGTGAATTCTTGGTGCTTCACACAGGCCTACTAAAGACCATCAAGAGCATAGTTATTTAAGGCCACTTGCACCCCAGGCTTTCCACCTTTTCTTTACACTTGGAGATAAAAATAATCTTAAAAGTTTTGTATTCTGTTTAAAAAGCTTTCTGACTGACATGATTTTGCTCCACGTGTGTCCCTTTCTCTGCCAGGTGTTCACCCGCAAGCTGGAGGAAGTAGGGCGAGTGTTGTTTCTGATATCACTCACCCAGAAAATCCCTACTGCCCACAAACAGTCCCATGTCTCTATGCTCCAAGAGGACCTTCTGCGCCTGCCTTCCTTCCCAAGAAGTGCCATTGATGCAGAATTCTCACTCTTCAGTGATCCTCAAGGTACTGGGGGAAGACTTTGGTGGGGTTTTTAATGCGTGTCTTTGCATATCGAACTTGGCACCAGGGTCTGTATTCAAACAAAAAGCACATAGGCTAGTAGCATTTCCAAACAGGAACATTATCGTGATGTGGGGACATAAACATAACTGTGGTAAAGATGCTGCAGCATAGCATCATTCATTAATTAAAAGCCTGGACAGGACAACCAATGTAAATTAACACCAGGAGTCAGAGTGAAGAAACAATCAGCTTTTGCAGGCATCACTTCAGCCCCTTGCCATTAGGTGGGAGTAGAGTAGATCATAGCCTGCTTGCATTGACCTTGTGGGCAGATAGCATCTATACCAGTGTAACTTCAGCACCTATACCAGCATACCTTACACAAGAACCTTTCCTCTGTTTTTTTCTAGATCAGTTCTATGGATTTGAGTAAAATGCATTGGTGTAGGTGTTATCTGTCCACTTCCATCCTGAGGCAATCATTTGCTCAGTACAAACAGGCTGTGACTTATTCCCCTGTCTGTTTCCTCTGTCTGCTTTTTATCCACAACACTGTAAAGGATGGTCTCAGTTCCACTGATGTAAGCATGTTGATGCTGTTCAAGCCCCTATTACCTGATCAAATCCCTAGTGGAGTTAATGGGAATCTTTCCATTAGCTTCTGTGGACATTGGATCAGGGCCTCAGTTACATGCATCTATGCACCCTGATTACTATTATTAGGGCCATTTTTTTCCAAAATGTGGGTGCAGATTTCAGTGCCCGCAAAATCTGAAGCCTATATTTTTATAGTTGTGTATGTGATATGGCTTATACTAGCTAGATAACTCCACATACCAAAGAGGTAATTATGTATGACAAGTTTCAACTTACATGTGCAAATATGGGCTGTGCTGTCAGAGTGGGTATATGTGCAGATTTTGCAGGAGATATTTAGGGACCGTGTCTTTACACAAGATGACCCTTAAAGATAGCTAAGATTTCAAACCAAACTTTGGCCTAGGTGAAATCATCCACTGCACTGGAGGCACTCGATATGTACTGGATTTAAAGGCACCCCCTTTCAGAAGCTGCACTATAAGAACCTGCCATTGTCCTGTACTGGGATATCCTTGACACTCATAGCCTGCAGCTTCTGAGCTGTATGGGTTTTTTTGTGTTTTCTGTTTGTTTTGACTTCATGTACTGCCCTGTAGAAAAGACATTCAGTGCCACTTGTTGAAATTTCACCATAAATCCACATGTAATTGTGTGACAAAACCGTAGCATGCCAGGGTGCTCTCAGAGATACACGCTTGGTTTATGTAAAGTTGACACTGTAAACCTGTTTGTCCCTCACTCTGCTGGACAGGCATGCCCAGGTTATTAATTTGCCCAGAAATCACAGTTTATCATAGGTACTTTGGAACAGTAACAGAAAAAACAAAAGAGTGTATTACAAGGAAACAACAAATGGTATAAAGAGTAGTGATCAAAGGCACACAGAGTATGGTAAAATAAAATGAACAAATATTTACATGACATTCAGACTACCACCTATCCCTCATAAAAATTTTTGTGACAATCTCTTGGGGTCGACCTCCTCATAGTCACAGCTAGGCCCTCAGCTGGGACCTCCATCCCCCCTTACTTCACAGGAACACCCCCTAGCAGTCACTGCCAACAGAATATTTCCCACAGCCTCCCCCTTCCACCTACCTTAAGGAGAGCCAGGGAATCCTCTAGAGAGTTTCTGCCTGTGGATCCATGGCAGGTAGAAGGTAGTTTCTTTTTTTTGAACTGGAGGGTTTATATCACAATTCACATAGAACAAGGATTGTTGTGGTTCTGTAGCTAATACTGGCTGCTTATCTGGCTCCTGAACGAGGACTGAGTGTCACTGATCTTAAGGGTAAAAATACAGTATTGATTCTCATGCCATTCCTATAAATATACATCAGACAAGCTGCCAGTGGTGTGTGCAAGCTTTGATCTTCTGTAGCTTAAAAGAGAATGGAGACAAATGAATTTTAAACTAGTGGGATAAAGATTAGTAACGCCCTATGATACCTATCGCCTTTGTACTTATGAGCCCTTTACACCCTTTGAAACACAATTGGTCAAACTCTGTTGATATTAATGAAACTAAGGCACAGGTGAATTTGATTCCAATCCTACTTTAAAAAGCACCTGTGGCCAAAATACAAGTAGCCGAAGTGGGAATCTATTTTGCTGGAATCTATTTTGCAAGAATCTGTACGAAGACACTTGGTCAGCATGCTCCTTCCTTTGAGGATGTTATCAGACTAGAAATGCTTCTTTGGACAAAAGTTATTAATTAAGTTACATGTTGCCTGCATTGTTCTTTCAGCTGGGAAGGAGCTGTTTGGCCTTGATACTCTTCAGAAAAGCCTGTGGATTAAGCTCCTGGAGGAGATGTTTCTTGGTATGCCCAGCGAGTTTCCTTGGGGGGATGAAATCATGCTTTTCCTAAATGTCTTTAATGGAGCCTTGATCCTGCACCCAGAGGACAGCGCTTTGCTGAGGCAATATGCTGCTACTGTCATCAACACTGCTGTGCACTTCAACCATCTATTCTCCCTCAGTGGATACCAATGGATCCTTCCCACCATGCTGCAGGTGAACCTCTTCTTTCTCAGCTACCTTTGAGGATTGAAGATTAACAACCTACTGGCTATCCTCCCACTAAGCAAGAAGCAGAAGACTTTAAAATTATTCTGTTTCATCAGCTAAAGCTATAATAATCAAGCCTATTAGTGTTTAGTGATATCCATTGTTAAAAGGGCTTTATCAACAATAATCCTCAGAGGATTGCTATGTTTTTAACATGCTTAACTTCTCCTTTATCCGCATGGGAAAACCAATGTGAAAAGGTGAAATGCCATGCCGCAGCTCACAAAAAGTCTGTTATTGTTTTGAGTTACAAATGAGCCCATGGTGTGCTAAGGGCTATCCTCCAATAGACAAGATGAAGTCCCACCCCATAGAGTATGCAGTAGAAAGGCTACCAGGGTAAATGCACATGCTGCTGAGGCAAATGCACATGTTTAACTATGCTCAAGTCCCATTGAGATCAATGGAATTGGGTCTATGAAGATGAACAAATAGATGTTGGGTAGAGGAGGAGCAACATACAATATCCCATAGACAATATATTTTTTTAGTCAGTATCAGACATCTCTGCCTGCATTTCTACCCAGCCATGATTAGCTGGCTTCATACCATCACAATCCACATGCACAAAGTGCCACCCATCAATTTTTTGTTTAGATCATAGTTCAACTGTCCATGATTTAATTACTCTTGTTCTGCTCCTTCCCCTAGAGCATCTTTATCTTTATTGGGTTCCACCAATTTCTTTGTACATTGTACGTAAGGCATATATTACTGCCAATCACAACATTGCATATTCTGAAATATTAAACAGGCTACAGATCTTTCCAATGTTTTGGACTGTTTGTATTCTAAGTAGAGTTAGTCCCTTCAGCTTCATGAGCCTAATTGCGGTGATAAAGTACAGCACAATTCCCATGCAGCTCTCACATGGTGTTACATTCTGGAAGCCTGCACAAAGTCTGAAGAGTTGGGTTTTACTGGGTAATGTTGAGGGACAAATGAAATGCACCCAGATCTAGCCTACAATGGCAGCTGCGCCCTTTCTGCACCTCCGTGAATGGGTTCTTAATTGTCAGTCCCAAACAGGTTTCCTTGTCTTTGGCTTAGCCCCAGATTCCATTCTATGTAGGTACAGAGTTCACCCACTCTGTGTGCAACTCAGCTACTTTTTTTCAATTCCTGTTCATGACCACCCAGGATTTTCTGGCTTCTGGAGGATCTCCCATGTATCCTCTGCAAAGAAGTGAATTTCATCCTGTAGGCAAGAATTTATTATGGCTTGTTGCCTTCATATAGCAAGAATAGTATATTCCTTGTGTTTTTTAGGCAACTTGCTGTTTCAGTAGGGAAATGAAGCAGACAGGCTATTAAAATGGACAAAATAAGGAAATGTAAAAAGGAGGCTCAGAGGTAATGATATTGTTTATGAAGCTCTGAGGGACAAATGTTTATTAAATCCTGCATCTAGTCAGACACCCTGGGTGCAGGATTCCTGGGCATTTAGGAAGGAAATATTGTTTTCTGGGCCCAAAATATATTCCAGAATTCACTGTTTGTTCACTTCTTAAAAATTGAAGCAGTATCTTTATCTCTTTGTTTCCCCTTCCTAGGTATATGCTGACTATGAAAGCAACCCTCAGTTACGCCAAGCAATTGAGTTTGCCTGCCGCCAGTTCTACATTCTACATCGCAAGCCCTTTATCCTACAGCTATTTGCTAGTGTAGCTCCTCTTCTGGAATTCCCCGTGAGTAAAAAACAATCCTTAGTTTTCTAGTGGAGAACCTGGATATGAAAAAGTCATGTTAGACTGTGTCAGAAGCCTTACTAAAGTCCAGGTATATTGTGTCTACTGTGTTTTCCTCCTCTGCCGAAGTAATTACCCTGTCAAAGAAGGGAATCAAGTTGGTTTGGCATGATTCATTCTTAACAAATATATTCTGGCTGCTAGTGATCATCCCTTAAGAACCTCTTCTTGTTGTCTTTAATATCCCTTGCCTTGTATTTCACTTTTCACCTTTGCTTTGCTGATTTTGTCCTTATACATTCTTTCTTCTCCTTGGTAAAGTTTTTTAATGATATACCCTTCCTTGCATACCTGTATGTTTAGCTTCATTTTTGAGGTAGCTACGAAGCTCATTGTATAGTTCCCTCAATCTCCTGTAGCTCCTCTAGTCTTCCACTGAGTTGGAATATTTTTTTTACTGAACCTCTAATGCTAAGTTCTTTAAGAATTACCAGCCCTCCTGGATACCATTATTCTTTAATATTTCTGTCTGTGGGACCTTCTACATGTCTGAGTTGGTTCATAGCAAAGACACTGGCCGGCATGACCCTGTTAAGGCACTGCAGCCCCCTCTTTCCCCTTTTCCCTCACCGCAGCCTGGGTCAGCCTGTCTGCTGGGGAGCAGAGGGGAGGGGGCTGCAGTGGTGGCCCCTAGAGCTGGCAGACCCCGGCTGCAGGGAAGGGACAGAGGGAGGAATTAACCCTTCTCCCTGCCCCCTTCACCTTACCAGGACCATGCTGAGTTGGTTGTCCTGCAGAGTGGGGAGGGGGGCTCTGTTCCATGCTGTGGGGGGAGGTCCACAAATGGAAAAAGGTTGAAACCCACTGTTTTATATGATTAAGCTCTAGAACTGAACTGGCATGTAGTTAATATTTGTAAACTCAGTAAAACTGAACTGTCTATATCTGCAAATAAAAACTGTGGGATTGCAGACTCTTGAAAAATCAATAATCTGTGGGTGTCATTTAAACAGGATGCCACAAACAATGGACCCAGTAAAGGGGTATCAGCTCAGTGCCTGTTTGATCTGCTGCAGTCTCTAGAGGGAGACACACCTGACATTTTGGACATCTTAGAGCTGGTGAAAGCAGAAAAGCCTCTCAAATCATTAGGTGAAAACAAGACCTTTTTTATTATTCCCTTCATTCATCAGTTTTTTATGTACTATCTGTTATGTTAATGAAATTTGTCCTGGAAATTTTTTCTTGAATGTGACAACACCAGTTTCTTACATTGTTCCTGGTTTCCAGGATTGGGTTTGTCTCATTACATTTACATGAATTCCATTAAGACAGAATCATGTATTTATTTCATTGAGCTGAGCTAGGAAATCTGAAATGAGCTACTAGCATTTAGAACGTTATCAATGGGGAAAGGGATGAAAAATAGGCTGCATCATTCAGACCAGATCAGTGCTGTTCACCTGCTCTGCTGCATGCTGAGTGGAAACAAAAGCATCAACTCCTCTGGACAGAATTGCCTGGCAAGTGATGGATACCAGTCTGGAATTCTGTGGTGTTGCTGATATACTGAAATGGTGTAGTATCGTAGAGCAATGCTACAAATCATAATATACAATAGAATAGGGTTTTTTCCTTTTTTCTGGAACACATTGCAATTTTCTATTTGGCATCTCTTTTAAAATTGTTAATAGATCTTCTCTAGAGCTGTTTCCTTTTTAAAAGAAAATAACACAAGAGACATGGTTTATTATTACCCCAGCTGGATTTTCAGTCTGCTTTAAAACTCTCAGACTGCTCATTTAAAATGAGCATATAGGCCAAAATGTTTATTGCTTAGTATCTTCTGTCTGAAAATCTATAAAGTATGTAAAGTTGGGTGCTTAGAAATTAAGGCATTCATAGTGTAAAATGTATGAAAACCTGAGTCCCATTTTCAATAGTGGTTTATTCTCCCAAACACCTAAGTCTTGCTGACTGCTAGTGATATTTAAACTCCCAAGTGCTTTTGAAAATTTTACTCAAAATTACTAATTGATTTTGAAAATGTAGGCCAGTGAGGCACCTCTGTCAAAGTCTCATGATTATCAGAAATTGAAAAAGTCACCTTCCAGTGTCATATGTTATGCCATTTTTAGCAAGATAGCTACTACCAGTAGGAAAATGAAAACACTTTAATATTTAAATGGATGTGTGTATGTGCATGCATGCATGTGCATGTGTAACTCAGTTCACTTATTGTGGAAGAACTCAAAATAAGATGTAAATGGCGCATAGGGTATTGAGTTTCACCTAATGAGAACAGTTTTCTTACCTGCTGGGAAAAACAATGGGAAGAGGGTTTGATTTTCTTTTTTTATATGGTACAATTTTGTAAGGAGCAAAACCCAGCTGGGAATGTACAATGTGAGAAGCAGAACACGTGGAAAGGAAAAACATCTTCAAATTAATTCTGTCTGCTGCCTGTCTTACCTCAATTTGCTTCTGTTCAGTTTTCATATTTCTGCTGATATTTTTCTGTCCTTTTAGATTTCTGTTATGGAAATGAAGATCTGACCTTTTCTATCAGTGAAGCCATCAAGCTGTGTGTAACAGTGGTGGCATATGCTCCTGAATCATTCAGAAGGTACTTCACTCTTACATTCAAAAAGTCGGGGGGGCTGTTTGTGTGTGTGTGTGTGTGTACGTGTATATATGTATTTTCAAAATATATAACATATTTCATTCCCCTGCCTGAGAAAATCATACAGTGCTTAGATGTACTGTTACAAAAATGACACCAAATATGTATTTCCTTTAGGAAATGATTTAGTTTCCATACTAGTGGTTCCCACTTCCCAATCTGTTTAGCCTCAGGGCACCCCTGCATAAATTTTCTGAATTTTGTGGCATCCCAGTTGAAAATCACTGTTCTAAATTCATAAAAGATATGGAGCTGGGCCTTGAGGCTAAGAAAGTTGAGAATCACTGATCTGGTTGGTGCACTTCAGGGTGGCAAGGCCAGGACCTCACCCTGACGTGTCCCACTCTTTTCACTGTCTGACCCTTCCCACCCCTGGGTCTGTACCTTAGGGGGCAAGGGCAGCCCCCACTGCTGAGACTGGTCCTGCAGGGTCTTCATGCCTTTAACCACCCCCATGACCTCTTCCACCAACCCTGGGAGTATGGGAGGAGTGGAGGGGACAAGTCAGGCTGCAAACCTCAGCTCTATGTGTGTCCACCTGCCCACACATTCACAGCTCAGTGTGTTGCTGGGAGCATAGAGGGGATGGGGACGGACAAGCACAAGAGCTATCTGGGTGGGGGGAAAGGGTGAGAAAAGACAGCAGAAGTCCAAAGAAGACCAGCTGGAGCAGACATAGGGTGCTGGGTGGAGGCGGATAGCATTTACCTCCTCGCCCAGGGGGATCTTGCAGCACACTGCCATTACTCTAGTGTGCTGTGGCACAGCCTTTGGGAATCACTGGTTTATTCATACTTGGATAGTATTAGGTAGAAGGTTACATACAAACAAGCAGAAGTGGAGGCAAAAGTTCTATGAGGACATTCCAAGCCCTTCTTTTTAAAAGAAAGTACTTTGCCTCCACACCATCATTTTCCCTTAAACAATGCCAGTGGGTTTTATTGCTGGAAAAAAGTGCTTCATTTATAACATTTCTCAGAGCTCAAATTAAAATTGACCATGAAACCAATGCGTTCCTATTCTTGCAAAGGAGCTTCATTGAATATAGGTAGTCAGGACCTTGTTTTCATCTTTCATTTGAAAGAAAACACTTGGAAGAGGAAGTGCTGTATCTCAGGCTGTGCTTAGCTGCTGGTCATAGGTGCCGAGTACATGGGGACCCCCTTGGGAAGCCTGTCCCTAATTGGGCAGGACAGTCCCAAAATGGGAACATTAAGTCCTGATCCAGGGTTGCATGACTCCAGGACAGCATTTGTCTCAGATTCCCACTATCATGTAGGGATCCAGGTTTTTCATTTACCACTGAAAAATGTGGGAAACAGTGGGTTTCCCCTTGCACGGTGGGAGAGGCTGCAGGGAGCACAACACAGGAGGCACCACATGCACATGTGCGTGAGCACACATGCATATGGCCAGGAATACAGCCCCAGGCAGTAGTGGAGAGCAGCTCTCCCAGCTGCCTGCAGGTAAGTCTATTGGAGTGGGGGACAAATTGATGCCCCCACAGTGAGGGAGGGAGTGGGGTGGGGGCTGGCCCTGGGAGTGCTGCCCAGCCAGGGCTGTGGATGGGGCCAGGTTGGGAAGTGGGATAGAGCCACAGGCAACTCATCCAGGGGGTGGATGGGCAGCTTCCAGCTACTGTGCACACTCCTGGGGAGAGGGGCATGGAGGGGCAGAGCCCCCTAGATTTGGTTACAGGATGGGGGCAGATACAGGCTGCCTGTTGCAGCCTCAGGGCTCCTCTCCCTGCTGCCATGGTGAGGTGCCCCCTGCCATGGTGATGTGGCAACATGCAGTTGTGCCCTCTATTGCTGCCAGGTGAACAGGGCGCACCTCACCATGGCAGTACGGCCAGTGCGGGGCTCCTGGGGGCAGGGCAGCAAGGTGGGGAGCCCTGAGCCTGCAGCAGGCAACCTGAATCTGCCCCCATCCCTTCACGGGCTCCGCTCAACTCTGCTTCAGCCGTGGTGTGGTGGGGGAGGAACAACACATCATCTTAGGCCCCCCACCAGCAAAAATACTATAAGAGTCAGTGCCGAGGTTCCCTCTATGGTGTGCATGTGCGCGGCCATGCAAAACTAAAAGTCTGGCCACGCACAGCCTTTTCAAGGCTGCGCACCGGAAGAGGAGCTGAAGGTAAGCTCTGAGGTGAGGGGAGGAAAGGCGGGGGCGGAGGCCTGGCATGGGCTCCACCAGCTCCAGAAAACTGCTCTGCTCCCCCGCATCACTTCAGGGAGTGAGGAGGCACGTGGCGTCAGGGCTGGGGAGTGGAGCAGTTCCCCGGAGCCAGCAGAGCCTGACTCAGGGCAGGCAGCAGCTCTTCCCTGAGGTGAAGCAAGGCAGGAATGAGGGCTGGGGCTGGGGGCTGGTATGGGCTCCACTGGCTCCAAGGAACTGCTCCGCCAGCTCTGGGGAAGTGCTCCACTCCCTGGCCCTGACACCACGTGTCTCCTCACTCCCCAGCCTCCAGCCCCTGGCCCCCAAGCCCCAGCCCCAGACTCCCTCTTCCTACA